GAAACATCATACCTATTATCCGTCATGAACAAATTCTAGATCCACCTCTTTGCTTCTTGTTTACGAATTACGAGTAGGAAGTGAAGAAGAAGATTTATGATTTGTATGTAAAGTAAGATTACTATCACAAAGAAACCGAGAGAAAAATTATAAACTTGAAAGATCAAAAAACTAAGGAAGAGAGGATTTTTGAAGTTGTTGATTAAGCGACTTCTCTTTTATAAGCAACTTCAACCTTTTTTTTTTGCAACGGCTATTTTATTTACTGTTGTAAAAGACCGTTGAGAATTTTCTACTGTTCAAACGGATTTGACTTGATATTTGTTTATTTTTTAATTATCCTTCACAAACCGAAACCTAACCATCACTTAACATTAAAGTTTCAATACACAAGTAGATGATTACTAACCAATTACACATTCTAATTATAATTCACTCTTAACCTCAGCGTCATGGCTATGACCATGTTTACCCAAATAAGAAATGGCCATGGCTGCGTGAAGAGCAGATCCAATAGGAAGAGCTTCTTCATCAACAAAGAAGTAAGGCGAATGAAGCGGTTTACCAGCGCCTAGCGACTCATTCTTTATCCCGAGTACGAAAATCGCAGCCTTAGTCTTTTGAGTGAAGAAGCTGAAATCTTCTCCTCCCATTGTCACTGGAAAATCATGGAAGTTATTCTTTCCGATCATCGCTTCCGCTACTTCTTTTCCGTGCTTGTATAAGCCCTCGTCGTTCTTCATTACCGGATGAAGCGACGGTTTCTTCTCTTCAAAATTTACTTCTGCTTTGCATCTGTATACCGATGCTTGTGCCTCTGAAATCTGCATCATCATCAAGAAACGTTTTCAATAGGATTAGGAACAAACATTTTGTCCGAACCATAATTACAGTATCGAAATTTTCACATCATAGAAACAGAACCAAAACAAAATAACCGAACAATTCGAATACTAGAATCAAGATTGTAAGGAAAAATGATGATACCTCTTTGATTCGTCTTTGAATAAATAGAAGCCCATCGTTGCTTAAGCTTCTGAAAGTTCCTCCAAATTTCGCAGTCTGCGGTATTACATTTTGAGCATGACCTCCTTCAATGTATCCAACCGTAACCACCTGAGAAACATTAAAACCCCTGAATTAAGCTTCTGATTCATCAAACACAATGCTTTACAAAAGGAAAACAAACTTACACCAGCTTCAAGCGGATCCATTTCCCGCGAAACAATCTGTTGTAATGCAAGAACCGCGGAAGAAGCCGCAAGAACAGGGTCTTTAGACAAGTGTGGTGTAGCTGCGTGGCTACCTTGACCGTGAACCGTGACTGAAAACAATCCTGCACCTGCAAGAACAGTCCCTGGCCTAGAGCCGATACCACCCGATGGGATCGATGGAAAGACATGGACGCTGAGAATCCCATCTAAGTCGTCTAGAATCTCGTCTTTTAGCATTTCATAAGCACCTGCATAACCTTCCTCGCCTGGTTGAAACACAAGTTTCACAGTTCCCTTTTGCC